CGATGAAAATATTAAAATAAAGCTTACTTTTTTCTTAATATTGCCTGATATTCAGTATTATTTTATGCAAACAGCCTTTTTATTAAGAGAATTAAACAACATAAAGGTTTTTTTTACATCTGTTGATGTAAAAAATAAAAAACAAAGGTAATTTTACATTCTTATTTATTAAAATTCTAAAATAAATTACCCAACTTAAATATTTTTTAGTTTTTTTAATTATAGTTGTAGTAACTCTGTTTCTACAAAAGATTCGTTTTAAAAAAAATTTTAAAAAAAAATTTAAACATAAATTTGTTCTAAATTTTAACCCCAATATTCAATGAATAAATTAGTAAACAACAACACTATTAACAACGCAACAGATACAAGTAAGATTAAGTCTTACTTCACACAATATGTCATCACGGGTCGTATCCCTAGGGTAAAACACGGCAATAGTGATTATAATTACATGATGATTTTTTATTAAAAAAATATTATTATATTTTAAAATCAGTTGTTTTAATTCTTAAAAGTGTGGTATTAAAAAATTATCAAAATATTATTGTTGTTTATTTTTACTAAAAGAGTGTTTTTTTTATAAAATTATCAAATATAAAATGATTTATTAATTAATAAATCATTTTATAAAATTTTTAATTACTTGTTTATTATTATTAAAAAAAATCAGTATAATTTTTTTGTTAATTTAAATATAACAAAGATTAATAGTTTAATATTAAAAGTTATTTTAAAAAATATCAATAAATGTAATTTTAAAAAAAATAATTTACTTTCAGATTAATAAATTATAAAATAAATTTCAAAAACAGTTAACAAAAAATATTTTTATTAATTTATTAATTAAAAAGTATAATATATATTTTTTTATCAAAAAATTTAAGCTAAATTTAATACTTTAACATTAAGTGAATCATTAAAATTAACCATACTTGGTAAAATTGAATTAGTGTTTTTATTAACATTTGCTTCTATTTCTGAATTAAGTTTCTTTTCAATTTTATTGGTATTTTTCATATTTTCTAAATCTAACTCAATATATTCACCTTTGTCTATTTCATCGTCATATTTGTTATCTTTAAAAAAATTATAAATATAAAACGTTGAAATAAATACAAATAAAATAACCACGAAAATGAAAGATGTCATGAATTTCATGAATTTTGACATAACAATTGATAGTGTGATGCAACCAGTTAATATCAACATAGTTATTACAACTTCGTTAATTATAGAATGTTTTGTTTTCATTAAAGGGGATTTTTTTAAAAAAATTTTAAACCCCAATTCAAATGAAAAATACATTAAGAGAGTTACCATTTTCAGTACTTGGAGGTAGAAAGAAGATAACAGCGGAGAATCCTCAGTTGATTAAGTTACAGAAGTTTTTTAAAAAAGTTGTAGAATCAATTGAAGATGCTCCTTTAGTTTTGAGAAAAATTGAAAAGAGACTAAGAACTACCAATAGAGTAAGACAACCAGTTAAAGTTTCAATGATAGCTAAAAATGAGAAAGTAGCATCTGGAGAATATGTAGCAGTGGTAGTAGCTAAAGTATTGGATGATGAAGAAATTTTAAAAATGCCACCAATGAAGATTTTAGCTTTAAAGATCAGTAAATCAGCAAAAGCTAAGATAGAGAAGAATGGAGGATCAGTTTATACTTTAGATCAGTTTATGAAAGTAGGAGGATCATTGGATAAATTAGAGTTTATTGCACAAGATCCTAATCATAGACAATCAGCTAAGTATTGGGGACTTGCACCAGGAGAGAAAGGATCAACAGCATATCCAAGAGCTAACAATAAGAAGTGTAAGAATAAAGAAAAGAGACTTAATGTTAAAAAGCCAATGAAATTTATTCCAGAAGATGAAGAATAATTAAATTTTCAATTAATTTAAACTTTTTAAAGGTTCTACAACTAAAATAAAACAAGAACAAGTTTCACATTCATACTTTCCTAATTTGTATAAATTATCATAAATAGAACCACATCTACATTTGGAAAAGAATTTCTCACCCAAATAAACTAATTCTTCACAGTTATAAGAATCTTCTCCACATAAGTATTCTTTATAGGCTTTTAATAGTTCTTGATATTCATTGGAAGATTTACATCTACTGGGATGCACTTTAATCATTCTCTGTCTATATTTCTCTTTAATTATATCTTCAATATCATTTAAAGTTAAATTTAGAATTTCAAACAAATCTTTCATCAATTTAAAACGATAAAAATAAAAAATATTTTTTATAAACAAATAATGAGAATTTTAAAAATACTTTTAATAGAAGCAAGTAAAGTTGAATTTGAAAATCCACAAATTACACCTAAACCAGATAGAGATTTTATTACAAATAGAATGAATTTAGAAAAATTTATAAAAGAAAATGAATCTAATGATTTAATTAACGAATTAAATAATTCTAAATTAGGAAAGTTAGAAAATACTAATCAATTAGAAAACAACACTAATCAATTAGAAAATAGCACTAATCAATTAGAAAACAACACTAAAACAAAAAATAACACTAAAATTTTAGAAACAAATAAAGTAGAAAAGAAAACTGATTCTACAAAATCATTAATATTAATGTTGATTTTCTTTATTTTAGCTTCAATAGTAAGTTATCAATTAGGAAAAAAAGTACAAAATGAAAGATGTAGAAACAATATTGATTAAATTAAAATTAAAAAATATTTGCTGATTTAAATAAAATGAAACATTTTTATCCCCTTAAATGAAATTTGAAGAGAATATTGAAACTAAGATTTTAAGAACTCGAAAGCCAGTTATTTTAACAGAAAAGAAATTTGAAGGAATACAGCCACATGCACTTTATCCACTAATAGACACAATACTTGAACCAGGAGAATCAAAAGAAATTTTAACAACTCTAAAAGTTGATAGTGAAGATAAAGCAGTAACTTTCTTTGTAATCAATGAAAAACCAAAGGAATCTAACAATTTTATTGAGACTTATCATAATTGGATAGGTGTGGGTGAACAGATAACAATCACTAAAATAAATCACTCAAAGGAGAGAATTTTAATTAAAAAGGATGAAGTAGCAGGAAAGATAATTCCAATTTCTAGTTATTTAGGTGATTGGGAAGAATTTGATGCTTTAGATATCACGCCAAGAGGTGAGGGTGGTTTCGGTTCAACTGGATTAAATTAAGTTGAGTTTATTGCTTATTTCCCTTTTCTTTTTAATTAAATTTTCTAAGTAAATTTCAAATTCTTTAAAATCTTCATTGAGTTCTTTTTTTATTTCACTAACAAAAACTTCCTCTTCCGTAAAAAAAAATTTCTTATTTTTTATCAGTGGTGGATTTTTAATTAAAACTTTTTCAACTCTTCTTATTTCATGATTGATGTAATTTAAAACCAATTTTAGTTCATTTTCTGAGTATTTAACTTTCTTTTTGTTATCTAACGTACTATAATAATCAAAAGAAAACTCATCTTTTGATTTATTTTTCATTTCTTCTGTCAAATCATTTAATTTGTTGTTTAATTCTTTTATATCTTTTAATCTTGTTAGAGCATCAGATTTAGTTTCATACTTTTTTAATTTGAACTTTTTGTTTCCGAACATTCTAAAATTTTTGTTTAAAAATTTTAAATATTTTTGTTTATAAAGAAATGTTTGAAGTTTTTAAAGAAATGTTTGAAGTTTAAAACGAAGTGGTTTTAAAATAATTCAGAAACAAATAAACAATGATTTTATATTTAATTTTTGTATTAAATGGGATATTCTGTAGGTCTTATATTCAGTCTAAGTGTGAAAAAGGAAATGTTACAGTCAAAGATTTAGATGATAATTTAATTACTATTGATTGTCCTAATGGAACTGAATGTGGTATAAGTAATGGAAGAGCAAAGTGTATTAATATCAACAAGTCAATTGATGACGAAAATGAAGATGAAAATAAAAAAATGGATGAAGATGATGCGGATGATGGAGTACCTTTTACATTGATAGTTATGGAAGAAGTTGATGATAAAAAAACTAAAATTAGAAAAGTAAATCCAAAAACTATAAATATGAGAAAACGTAAAAAAAAGCCTAAAACTGATGAAGAATCTGAAAGTTCTGAAGAAAATTTAGATAAACGTAATAAAAAGAATAAACAAGATGATGAAGATAGTGAATTTGATAAACCTAAAAAAGGAAAAAAAATAAAAAGAAGTAAAAGAAAGAAAATAAAAAAAGATGATGAAGATAAGGAAAATAAAAACGAAGAAGTAATAAGTTTATTAAAAGATTTAAAAAAATTAATTCAATCAAAAGAAAAAGAAGTTGTAACGGTAACTGAAAAAACTGGACCAAAAGAAATTAAATTAGAATATACAACAGGTGATTCAAAAGAACCAATAGCATCATTTAAAGCAGATGAAGCTTCTAAACAACCACCTGGTGCACCTACTAAACAACCATCTGGTCAACCAACACCATCAACTGGTAAACCATCAACTCAACCAACTCCTTCAACTGGTCAACCAACACCATCAACTGGTCAACCTTCTGGTAAACCTTTTGGTCAACCAACACCATCAACCGGTCAACCTTCTGCTCAACCAACACCATCAACCGGTCAACCTTCTAAACAATCATCAAGTCAACCTTCTAAACAACCATCTGGTCAACCAACTCCATCAACTGATAAATCAAAACCTTCTAGTCAACCAACTCCTTCAACAGATAAATCAACTGATAAATCAAAAAGTGGTAGTTCAGGTGGGGACGGTAAAATTACATCAGAAAAAATTATGAATGCTTGTAGTAAAATGGGAGATGAACCTAATCCAGAATATTTAGATGCAGTTGCAGAAGGAATTAATGAAAAAAGTGAAGAAGAACTACCGTTTGATATGAAAGTACAAGCACTTGGTC